ATGCAACCCAATTAAGAATATCTAGCTCTGTAAGTCAAAAAACCTGAAGTGTTCGGTAGGCATTTATATATTGATTTTAGAACTGCGTTAGTGCATGAGTTATTGTAGCATGTAAATATAAATTTGCGTTGGGCATCTTTTGCTTATTAACTCCTTTTTTCGCTTGATTCATATTTTCTCTGGCTGTGGCATATTTAATTAGTACTGGCTGCAGTCTGTCAATTTGCTTCTAGTCATTGTCAACTTGGAGTTGTTACTTGCCCGTTCCAGTTATGTGTAGGACATGTTTGTAGAATTTCTATCTACGTCTCTTAATTTTTCCTGTAATAGTTCATGCCTACAGGTTTCTTGCAGGAATTCATTATTATTGACAAAGATTGCAATTTATAGAATTATATCAGTTACAATCAGACAACAACTATTCAGCCTGATTGACTACTGAATCTTCAGACGTGCCACTGAATGGTGACAACACTAGCTTATTCCTCGACATCGTCATGCTCTCCACCTTTGACAGACAGGTGAACAATATGACTCGACCGCAGATTAGTTAGCGGCAACTGATGATGACAATATGGGCAGTGTCCTTAATTGGGTAACTGCTGGATTATATGGTTTCGCATGAATAAGTTCCCTTCGTGACGATGGGCCTGTTTGGTACAGCTTATAAGCTGCTTATGGCCAAAATAAGCTGAAACCAACAGCCAAACGGTATGCTTTTTTACAGCTTATTTTAGCCACGCTTATTCTCACTCTCACCACTCTCATTTGTACTAAAAAGCAGAAGCTGAATCAGACCTTGTGCAGCTTATCTGGGAAGCGCTTCCCTGATAAGCTGTACCAAACAAGGCCGATATATGATTTGCTGATTCCCTGGTTACAACAGTAGTAAAATTTATTTTTGATGTAACATGCAAGATATGGTTAGTTTCTGTGGTGTATCTCCGACCACGGGACCCTGTTCGTGATGGGCACTGCCTTTATGATGGGTGTTGGAGCTGTCAAGTTCTGGGAGAGGACATGGTCTCTCATGCACGCCAGCTTCAGCATCATCCGGGAATCAGTGAAGACAGTGGCACTGGCCAAGTGCAATTTTTTCCTCGAGTATGAGACCCGTCCATGTGGATTCAAGGGGGATACTACCCAAGAAGAAGAATTCTTCAAACGGCATGTTCATGCCCTGTTCCATGTTAGCAAGTCTGCCATGGTTGATTCTTCAGTTAATGATGAAGGTTCAAATATTAGAAGTAACCATGGTGGTCTTGGTCTTGGTCGAGTCCTTGAAGGCTTCAAAAAACAAGACACCAAGTACAAGTGGACGTTGATGGAGAATTGGAGATAGAGCTATCTCTTATGCACGACATTCTCTACACCAAAGCAGCTATGGTCCACATCTGGTTTGGCTATTGCATCCGTGATCGTGTCAGTGCTCACAGTATCAACCTTGCTTCTGCTGTTCTGGTTCAGTATCAAAGCTGGGTACAACAGGGTACGTTGTTACAGGGTATGCCTTGTTCGGTGGTGCCTTGCTTTGGATCACTTATGCCTTGGAGCGGTGGACATTGCCTTGCTTCTGGAGATGATGTGCTCGGGCTGTTGGGGGAGTAATCATTTCCTATTCTCCACCTGGACATTTGCCTCAGATTTCTATGCTCCACATGGGGAAGTGCAATGGAGTGGCCTTGTGCATGCAGCCTTGTGCTTGGGAAGGTGGGACCAGCTTTGTAACATCGTGTAATCATTTCATGTGGTGGATTATATAAATTCCATCAACGAAGAAGGTTCAATAAACACCTACATTAGGAAGAACTTGCTGGCTAGCACCAAATTATCAACATGGTGGAGGTGGCATGGTACCATGGGGAAGTGCAGCATGTTAGGGGACATGATGCATCCGTTGAACGCTATGCTACCTGGCCTTGCCAGATCAAGTTATACCCGGACAGAAAAACTTCCCCACTCTCAGTTGGCATATGGGCTAGGATGGTTGAAAGGCTCCAGCTTTGCAATAATTTAGCCCACTTCACCCTTGTGCCTAGAAAGTGACTGTTAACATCCCAGACACAGTCAAGGAACATGTGGTGGATTATATAAATTCCAAGTAAATCAGAGGAGAAAGAACGCGGTGATGTTTTCAATAAACACACTGGAGGGGGTGATTAGGAAGAATTCTTGAGGCCAGGTGAATCATGCACAACTAAAGCACCGGATGATCACCAAACTCTTTAAGGTCTAGGCGAGGTAACAAGCATGGTGCTGAGGGTGGATGCACAGCTACTCTCTTTTCACTAATGAGACCTTGATCTTGGATTCTCAAATCACAATCATCTGGCACATTGCCACTGATATCTCAAGGGTCCTCTTAAAATTGAAATGGGAAGTTGAGGACTAAGGACACAGAGTGTTGTAGGGCAATCAAAACAATCTCCCACTACTTGATGTTCCTCTTTGTTGAACGCCTCAAAGATCCTATGCTACCTGGCCTTGCTCAGATCGAAGTTATCTGGCACCACATTTCACTCACTCGTCCGGTCCCACGGATCGCTTGATCAAAAACTTCCCCACTCTCAGTTCACTTTCAAGCTGGATTGAAATTTTATACAATGGTAGGGTGGAGCTATCTACATGGTGGTGGCCCCAACTCTAGATTCTAGGAGCCACTGCTAAAGAAAACAAAGCAACTAAGTGTCTCTTCAACACCAAGAGACATTTAGAACTAGTCCATCCTTAACCTCGTCCACTTTGAAAACCTAAACGATTTCCATTGTAGGGGCATGACAACCATGATTGCCCAATCGATGCCACCAGCCTAAGTTGGACATAGTAAATTTGGCATTAAAACTCAACTAGAGGCCTAGAGATTTGGGATCAGTCTAGCTGAAGAGAGCAAAAACTGCTCATCACCAGAGGGACGAATTTGGCATTAAATCTCGTGTAAAATCAGAAGGACTGCTCAAGAGGGAGGGCAAAGAGGACTTATTGCGAATAGTCTTAGATGTGTGGACAGATATTCTAGTCTATGTGGCCAACTGATGCAGCAGGGAGTCGCATGCTAAACAGCTTAGCATAGGTGGTGAGTTTACAACTCTCATATGGCTTATGACAGAGCACTGTCATCAAGCTGGTTAGAGACCAACCTCTTACTAGGGATGGCAATGGCCCTGTCCACTGTTTCATGGCAGTTGTTATTAATCCCCATACTTGGGATGTGGTTAAAAATGACATTGGATCTGTGCGTATCTTATATCGTATAAAAAAACATTATATGAAATGTTGAGCCACCTTTGATTCTATTTAATATGTCATGGTCAATTGATGTCCATCTTTAGTATCTTGAAGTCTTATTGTGTTGATATAAATCATGATGTTGCTATTGCCATTTTGATGCTTGTAAAGGGGGATGGAGAACCCAGTGGGTATCCATTCAATTCGTATGGGTGGGGGTGGGGAAAAATGAGCTTCAAGGACAAGGTATTTTCTTCCCAGTGGGTATGAAATGGGGAGGAGTGCTTCAGGTCCAGATCAACGACCATTTGCTATTACAGTTCATGAACTTGACTCCCAAGGAAAGCTCAATGAGTCTGCTATATGAGACACTGGTGATGTCGTGCAGGATGATTTCAGAACCAAGAACCAAGATACTGGTGAAAGCTATATGTATGAAGAAATATGGGGCTGTCGCAGATGACAAGTCTCTAAGTAAGTATGATAATTGATAAGGAATAATCTAAAACTTGTTCCACGGTCAGTACTATCCCATGTTCATAAATAGTTCACTCTTCATTGGCATCTTGCTTCTATGCTATGAACAGAGGATGCTGGGAATTCATTTTTAATGGGCACATGACACACATCACAATGTCCTGTATCTTGTATGTCAGTGTCAGTGTCCATACCAAAATTCACAAGGGTCACATCTTGGGCTAAAGGAGATCATCTCTCATCAGCAAATAATCATTGACATTATTAAAAGGTTTTCTGTCACTTTCAATATCAGAGTATGCTTGTCTGATTATTAGTACAATTTCAAGTACTGTTTTACATGCTTGTACTCTGAGGGGCATGTGAAATTATTTGCTTGTTCATCTGTTATGTGTGCTGTCTAGTTGTTGCCAACATATGGACAAGTAAACTATGGATAAAATTATGTTTTATATCTTCCATAGAATTTGGAAAACGCTGAATTAGTACTGCTTGTTTCAAACGGCTGGCAAACAGTTACAAACTGAACTGATGGTACAATCACTTCATTTTTGGCATACCTCTGCTTAACATGTACCTCCGTTTTCTTCTGTTAAATTTATAGATCATACGTTGCCTGGCTACTCAGGAACTCATCTAGTACTGTCACAGTTGTGTTTGGTCACTTCCACGCTGCCAATCCTAATCTATTCTCAGGTAAATCTATTATTGTCTTTTGCTAATTTGCTGCCTCTGGACTACCGACTACCGGCTACTTCTCTTTGCTTTTTGTTGACTGTATTTTCTTTTCATTGTTGAGTTTTAGATATCCTTATGTTAGAAATTACTTCATCTGTTTGCAGATTTTTGAACAGAAGGAATAATTGCTAGAGCAGAATTGGTTAATTCTGTGAATATAACTGAATCAAAGGTTTGTCTCAGATTAGGAACAGAAGATGTTTGCTAATTGCTAATGCTCCACAGGTTCGAACATGTTTCTAATCTAGTTGAAAATATCCCCAGAAACTGGCAAAGCCCAAAACAAACTTGGAATTGACATGTGAAAGTCAAAGATTGAAGGAAGCAGCGTGCAGCGACGTCTCACCAGACAACGAATCAGATGCGATGCATCTGCATACTGCATGCATTAGCACGTGTCCATCAGGATTAAATACAGCAAGTTGCTCCCCTGCTCTGACTCTGACTCCGACAAAGAAAGGCTAGGCCTTTTTTTTGGATAAAGTATAACTGTATAAGGCAAGGCCTTTGTGTGAAGTCTGAACAACCAGCTCCTGGCTACGCTCCAGCCCAGCAACACCATGGCAATGCGTGTCATGAGCTTGCTGCATGCCGCCACCTTCGTCATGATTGCAGTAGCCTCCTGGGGAGCACACGGCACTGCCAGCGACGAGGCCAATTCTCTGCTCGCTTTCAAGGCTGAGCTCGTTGGCAGCAGCAGCTCCGGTGTGCTGGCCTCCTGGAATGGCACCACCGGCGTCTGCAGATGGGAAGGCCTGGCATGCAGCGGCGGCGGCCAGGTGGTGTCGCTGAGCCTGCCCTCCTATGGGCTCGCTGGCGCGCTCTCCCCGGCCATCGGGAACCTCACGTTCCTGCGGACGCTGAACCTGAGCTCCAACTGGTTCCAGGGGGAGATCCCGGCAAGCATTGGGCGGCTAGCGCGTCTGCAGGCGCTGGACCTGAGCTACAATGCGTTCTCCGGCACGCTGCCCGCCAACCTCAGCTCCTGCGTCAGCTTACTGCTGTTGAGACTCAGCAGCAACCAAATCCATGGGCGCATCCCTGTCGAGCTCGGCAACAAGCTCACGCATCTTCGGGGGCTCTTATTGGCCAACAACAGCCTGACGGGCGCCATCCCAGGATCACTAGGTAACCTTTCATCCCTGGACTACCTTGATCTGACAGACAACCAACTCGAGGGTCCGGTACCACATGAGCTTGGCAGCATTGGAGGCCTCCAGGCCCTTTTCCTCTTTGGGAACAGCCTATCGGGTGTGCTTCCACAGTCCCTGTACAATCTGTCATCGCTGAAGAACTTCGGGGTAGAATTCAACATGCTGTCTGGAACTATCCCTGCTGATATTGGCGACAGGTTCCCTGGCATAGAAACCCTTAGCTTCTCTCACAACCGGTTCAGTGGAGCTATCCCACCTTCGGTCTCCAACCTCTCTGCTCTCATAAAACTTGGCCTCGCAGGAAATGGATTTATTGGACATGTGCCTCCTGCTCTGGGGAAGTTGCAAGGTCTCACTGTCCTGGACTTGGGTGACAACAGGCTACAAGCCAACGACAGTCAAGGGTGGGAGTTCATCACTTCCCTGACGAACTGCAGCCAGCTTCAGAATCTGATTCTTGGCAACAACTCTTTCAGTGGTAAAGTGCCTGGTTCAATCGCCAACCTATCGACGACTCTCGAAACTCTTTATCTGGGAGACAATAGGATTTCTGGAGCTATTCCATCGGACATCGGCAATTTGGTTGGCCTGAAATTACTTGAGATGGCAAATAGCTCCATATCTGGAGCGATCCCGGAGAGCATTGGTAGGCTAGGAAACTTGGTTGAGTTGGGCCTCTACAACACTAGCTTGTCAGGCCTCATACCTCCATCACTAGGAAATCTTACACAGCTGAACAGGCTTTATGCATACTATGGCAATCTAGAGGGGCCCATTCCAGGGAGCCTGGGAAACTTGAAGAATGTATTTGTCTTTGATCTGTCAACAAATCGACTCAATGGTTCAGTTCCCAAAGAGGTGCTAAAACTTCCTCAGCTTTCTTGGTACTTAGACTTATCATACAATGCATTGTCTGGGCCACTCCCAGTTGAAGTTGGTAGCTTGGCAAACCTTAACCAACTGATTCTATCAGGAAACCAGTTGTCAAGCAGCATACCTGATAGTATTGGAAATTGCATTTCACTGGAACGGCTGCTGCTGGATCAGAACTCATTTGAGGGAATCATACCTCAATCTCTGAAGAACTTAAAAGGTCTCGCCTTACTGAACCTGACCATGAATAAGCTGTCTGGTAGTATTCCTGATGCCCTTGCTAGTATTGGCAACCTGCAACAGTTGTATTTAGCACACAACAACTTTTCAGGTTTGATTCCAGCAGTTCTACAGAACCTAACACTATTGTCGAAATTGGATTTGTCCTTCAATGATCTCCAAGGTGAAGTGCCAATAGGGGGTGTTTTTGCAAATGCAACGTCCTTGTCGATTCACGGAAATGATGAGCTTTGTGGCGGAGCGCCTCAACTGCATTTAGCTCCATGCTCCATGGCTGCTGTGGATAACAAAAGACAAGTGTCAAGATCCCTTATGGCCACCCTAATATCAATTGGCGCACTTGTATTCTTAGGTATACTAGTTGCTCTTATTCATTTGATCCACAAGAGGTTCAGACAAAGAAAGGCAAGCCAACTCGTTTCCACACTAATTGATGAACAGTACGAAAGGGTTTCTTATCAAGCATTGTCAAATGGAACTGGTGGTTTCTCAGAGGCTAATTTGCTCGGACAAGGAAGCTACGGTGCTGTTTATAAATGCACTTTACATGATCAGAGTATTACCACAGCTGTAAAGGTGTTTAACATACGACAGTCTGGGTCCACTAGAAGTTTCATGGCTGAGTGCGAGGCACTGCGAAGGGTACGTCACCGTTGTCTCATAAAGATCATCACCTGTTGTTCAAGCATCAATCATCAAGGTGAAGAATTCAAGGCACTGGTTTTTGAGTTCATGCCGAACGGTAGTCTGAATTATTGGCTGCATCCAGTATCTAAAGTACACACTCTGAGTAATACGCTCAGCCTAGCTCAGAGACTAGACATTGCTGTAGACATCATGGATGCCCTGGAATATCTTCACAACCAGTGTCAGCCACCAATAATCCATTGCGATCTCAAGCCAAGTAACATCCTCCTTACAGAGGATATGAGTGCCCGGGTTGGAGATTTCGGCATATCGAAAATCCTTTCAGATGACACTAGCAAAACTCTGCTAAATTCAATCAGCTTCACTGGACTGAGGGGCTCCATTGGTTATGTCGCTCCAGGTAACAGAAGCTCCTACTCACAATGTTACCTTCGGTCTTTATTAACTTCCATTCTGCCATGTCTAGCTGTCTCTGCATGTGTGCTTCTGAATCCATTCACCATACAATATAACGTCTGAAATCTGAATGACACTGCAGAGTATGGCGAGGGTCGATCTGTCTCAACTCTTGGGGATATCTACAGCCTAGGCATACTGTTGCTTGAGATGTTCACCGGGAGGAGCCCTACTGACGACATGTTCAAAGACTTGTTGGACCTTCATAGGTTCGCCGAAGCCGCTCTTCCCAAAGGAGCCTCGGAGATAGCCGATCCAGTAATCTGGCTGCATGAAGAAGCTAAGGCAAAAGATACTGCTGATGCTGCCAAAATTAGAAGCCGGAGCGAGGAGTGCTTGGTTTCAGTGATCCGGCTCGGCGTCTCCTGCTCAAAGCAGCAGCCAAGAGAACGAATGGCGATGCGCGATGCTGCTGTGGAGATGCGTGCGATCAGAGACGCGTACCTCATGGTTGCCAGCTAGCTGGACGGAGATCTGGAAGAGAAGCAAGCAAGCCGCCGAATCCTCTTATTCTGATTAAGTTTCTGATGTTCAAAATCATAGAAGCAGCAAAGCAGGAGGCCCAGTTCTGAACTAATCTTTGTACGTTTAGAAACTTCGTTCATACCTATGACTAAGATGAAATCAAAACAATCGTTATTTGTTAGCTTCGTGTACCCTCGTACGCTGGTCAAGTTGCGCATTAGCAGGTTTTCTTATTTTGATGTAGCGAACTAATTGCTTGATTCAGTGTGCTAAACGCCCCGTAGGTGAAGATGCTAGATATTTATGTAATTTTGGACATAATTTAATCGAGAAAAATAGCTACATGACTGTGACAACATATACGCGCACTCGCAAAAATATGACTGAATATCACAAAAGCAACAAGATCAGAAGTATACCAAGGCGGGACCGGTACCGATGGCACCAGCGGGACCCACACTGATTGCACTATTGGTACCCTTCCCACTAGCCACTAGTTGACACGGTGGGCTGCTCGATGTCATGGATCTCAGATCCTGTTTATTTTCCCTCTTTTGCCAAAACTTTTACTGTTTTATCTTATCTTTTAGCAAAATAGATCTAAACAGTATGGACAAAAAAGATCAAAACCTGAGCTGCTAAATTTTTGGCATTTGGGACCCAGTGGAGGCCCAAAACTAGGCAAAAAATGTGTGGGGCGGGAGCCGGACGCCCACTACCCCAGCTTGCATGGTCTCCGTCTCGCGCTGGAGCGGCTGACCGACAAAGACCTGGTGGCCGGGAGCGAGCGAGGGGGGGTGGCCGCCCGGATTCTGGGGACCACCGCCGGCTAAGCAGTATGGGCCAGCCACCACCATGAGCTCAAGCTCGGGTTTCCCATGGCGACACAAGACGCGGTGCCCGGCCATGTCGCGAGGCAAAGGGGTAGGGCGGCGGGCGTGGTCGCCGGATCTTGGCGGGGCACGACGCCGGAGTTGGGCGGGGCGCTGACCGCCACGGCGAGCTCGAGCTAGGGCTTCCAGTATGTGCAGATTTGGTGCATGGCCGCCATGGCAGGCAACGAGGGGGCAGCAGGCTGGGGTGGAAGCCACCGGGCTCTTGGGGGGGTAGGGCACGCCGGTGAGGCCGCTGCTTGCCCCTCACGCGCGGCCGATGTGCACGAGCTCGGCGTACGGACGAGCAGAGGAAGAAGATAATGAGGGCAAATCAGTATTTGTTTGTACAGTGCTAAAGTGTTGCCATGCATCTAAATACCAAGATATAAAGTTTGAATGTCTAAAGATTTGCAGCAAAAGATTTGCAGCAAAAGATTAGAACAAAAGTTTTGCCATTCCAAAAACATCTAAACACCCCTTAGTCGATGCGGCAAGATATTCCTCGAACGGCCATTGGGAAGTAGACAACGCAAACGACACAGATGAACACGCCCTTGAACGGTCCAGGAAGTAGAAGATGCAGATAAACACCGGGAAAAGGGAACAATCGCACGATGAAGTGTGCTCCCCCAAAACCCAATTCGCTCGCACACCTGAGCAGGTGCCTTCATTCCGTGCATGCAGGAGATTGGAACGGGACGGATGAGTAATCGCGGAGTAACGGATAGAAACTCCTGCAGCGATTACGCTACCCTACACCTTTTGGGCGTGCAGGAGATTGGGACGAGACAGAGGAGTATTCACAGAGTAACGGACAGAAACTCCTGCAGCAATTACTCTGCCACGTACATCTTCTGTGCGCACAGGTGATTGAAACAGGACAGAGAAATAATCACGGAGTAACGAATAAAAACTCCTGCATCGATTACTGTGGCATGTACTCCTTCTGTCCACCGTGTACACCTTCTGTGCCAGTAGGAGATTGGAATGGGATAGAGGAGCAATTACTCCGTGATGTAGTCCTTCTGTCCACCTTCTGTGCGAGTAGGAGATTAGAATGGGATAGAGGAGCAATTATAGGTTGTTTGATCCAACGTATAGATATTAATTAGAAATATTAAATATAAACTAATTATAAAACGAAATACATAAATGAAGGCTAATTTACGAGATAAATCTACCATAGCATTATATGGGCAAATCATGGACTAATTAGGCTTAATATATTCATCTTGTGAATTAACCTTTATTTATATAATTGATTTTATAACTAGTCTATATTTAATACTTCTAATTAACATATAAAACATATATGATGTGACAGAGATCCAAACAGGCCTTACTTCACGGTGTACTCGTGTCCACGTTCTGCGCGAGTACGAGAATGGAATGGGATAGAGGAGCAATTACTCCGCGATGTACTCCTTCTATCCACCGTGTACACCTTCCACCTTCGTACACCTTCTGTGCGAGTAGGAGATTGGAATGGGATAGAGCAATTACTCCGCGCCTATCCATGCCACGTCACGGCCCGACACACGCGCGTGTCACGTCTTTCGTTTCTCTCAACTTCACCACATGTGTACATCGAGGCTAACTATTTAAGTTGAGTTAATATTTAGTTAAAATCCTATATGAGACTAAGACTTTGTTGCACTTAACATTTAATATGACTCTTAGAATTTATTTGGCTTAGCTGAATTAAAAATAGGCCAAGACTAGACTAAATCTATCGAAAGGAGCCGTTGAAAGGATTTTTTTTATCAAAATCTTTATTTCTATTATTATATATGAAGAAACATTTCTACGACGAAACTTTTTTGCATATCCTCTTTGGCACCGTTTCTACTGATTCTTGAAGGATCGGAACTGATTTAGTGTCTCAAACGTACCCGTAGTATGTAGTTGAAGATTATTTTCTAATCAAAGTCTCTGATCCTATCCATATGGAAGGATATAGAGAAGCTTTTGCAGATACCCTTTTACAATCAATTCACGTCCTAAGGAAAAGAAAACTATTCTGTTTATATTATGCACGCATACCAAGATTCTATCTAACTTAAAAATCTTTGATCAATAACTTGACTAATAATTTTAAGTATCATAATACAAGCTCGATACGGTTAGATTTATAATTAAATGTCCTGTCCAACTACCATAAGTTCATATCTGTTACTACTTAAAATATAGATACCTACTGGTTTCGTCCACAAAAAAAAAATCGTGTGCACGCCTCCATGCATCAAACTCCGAGTCGGGCTCTCGGCTCTCGGCTCTCGGCGGAAATTTCCCTAACAAGTAGGCAACCAGCGCATCCTTCGTCCTGCGCCATAACAACGACGTCAAGAACCGCTGGTGGAACTCTCTCTAAGCAAGCATCAGCAGGTGCCACCTCCCGGATCAGAGACGCTCCTACTGTTTCCTCTGGCACCCGAGAGCACGCCTGCCAAACCTGCGGCGCGCCACAGAGGAAAGGCAGCTGTTTGGTTCAGCTTTTAGGTGTGGTGGCCATATTCTCCGCCACAAGTCTTCGGCGACGCCACAGCGTGGGCTGTCAACCAAACAGCCCCAACCCGCTCGAGATAAGGCTCGCCACGTACACGTACACGGGCGTGGGGCTGTTTAGGACTATGGTCCAAACTGTTTGGGAGCTCCGTAGACTTGTTATCCTTTTATTTAACTAATAGTTTTGTTGCATGTTTCATGGTTCTGATTTCTAACGAGTATCTAAGGCCAACAGAACTTATATAGGAAAAGCTGAAGAAGGTTTTCTACCATATTGTAGTTTTGTTGATTTTAGGTTACACATCTCTTAATAGGAATCCTGATACCAAACCGCGGGCGCCCGATACGGCCACGTTGCCCGTTAGCCGGCTAACCGTCGGATCAAGCCATCGAGCAACGTGAACCGTCCGATGCGGGTGGGCGGGTCTGTAGCCCGTTAGCGGGGGGACTCGGCATGTTGCACATCAACCCACAAACTCAGACACCCGCGAATAGTCGCGAACCCAGTCGAGGTCCTCATCCCCAACCTCAGAAAGCCGCAGTTCCACAGCATCGCCTCCGCTCTCTCCGCCGCTCGCCAGGATAAGCAGAAGCCGCCCCTCGACCTGCCTCGCGCGGCTAACGAGGTGGTGGATGCTGCGGTGTAGCCTGCCGCCGCCGTCAGCGGCAAGCAATCCGGGCTCTCTCGAATCCTCGCGAACCCACCCATCCGATCCGCCTGCTATGCCACGCGCCGGCCACACCTCCTTCCGCCCGACGCCCGCTACCCTCTATGGTGCGCCGCTCCACCCTCTCCCTCGGCCTCTGCCCCTGCTCCTGACTCCTCTCTTCTCTCTCAAGCATCCGGTGGGTACCGCCGCCGCGGCCATCGAGGTGCGCCTCCCATCTCCTCTGGATCTCCTGCTGTCCCGCATGGGCGGACGGGTGCGGCACCTCTCATAGCTCCGCTGCAGGCCCTCAGCGTGTGTGTGTGTGTGGCTGATGCTCGCTCCAGATGCGAGTGCTCACCGGTTGCTACTTGCTACACGATGATACAACAATGCCTGTGTTGCTGCTGCACTTTATCTATCATGCTAATGCTAGTAGTTTGCCCGAGGAA